TACCAGATTCAGTTCACTGTCTTTAGAGTACCAGAGACCATACTGTATAGTTCCTTTAACATATTTCAGAATACGCTTTGCAGCTATCAGGTGAGATTCCTTTGGATCAGATTGATACCTTGCACAGATTCCAACACTAAACGTTATATCTGGTCGACTGGCTGTTAGATACAGCAGACTGCCTATCAGACTGCGGTAGACGGTGTTATCCACTGATGCACCAGATTCATCTTTTGAGACTTTTGTAGAGGTGAAAATGGGTGTTCTGGAAGATTTTCATGACTCCAGATCAAATTTTTTGACAATATTCTTAGCATACTTTTCCTGAGAAATAAAGTATCCCTCCGAACTTTGCTTAACCTGCAGACCTAAGAAGTAAGTCAGTTGGCCAACCATGGGCATTTCAAATTCCTCCTCCATCACCTTTACCAGCTCATCTATATATTTTTGCAAGGTTGAACCAAACACAATGTCATCCACATATATTTGGGCTATGGTTACATGGCTTCCAGTGGTTTTTACAAACAGAGTTTTATCAACATTTCCCCGCTTGTATCCATGTTGGAGCAGATACTGTGTCAGACGCTCATACCATGCCCGTGGGGCTTGTTTAAGACCATAGAGGGCTTTTCGAAGTTTATAAACATATGAAGGATGTTCTGGATCTTCGAAGCCTTTGGGTTGAGCCACATATATATCTTCGTGGAGATATCCATTCAGAAAGGTTGTCTTGACGTCCATCTGAAATAGAGTGAACCCTAGAATACATGCAACAGCCGCAATATCCTGATTGACTCGAGTCTAGCTACAGGAGCAAAGGTCTCGTCATAGTCAATTCCTTCAATCTGAGTATAACCCTGAGCCACTAATCGAGCTTTGTTTCTGGCGATATTTCCAGCTTCATCAGTTTTATTTTTAAAGATCCACTTCATTCCAATAATATTGACACCGTCAGGTTTTGGAACTAGATTCCAAACATGATTCCGCTCAAACTGATGTAGCTCCTCCTGCATTGCCTTGATCCACAGATCATCCTGTAAGGCTTCTTTGACATTTTTGGGTTCTATTTTTGAGGTATAACAGGCAGATCCAGACACCTCTGTCAGATTATTTCTTATTCTGCTCCTGGTCTTCATCCCATCTGATGGATCTCCAATAATGTTATCTGTTGTATGATTCTTCTGAGTCCTGGTAGGTTTATCTTTACCAACATCTATTTTGGGATCTGTCTCCTGTTCTGAGCTTTCTCCATCTTCATCTGACTCTTCTTGTGGCTTAGACTGACTGTTGATATTATTTATATCTGGATCTGTTGAAGAAGACTCTATTGCTATTGAGTCAACATATTCTTCTGGATTATCATCAATGACCACATTTACTGACTCCATGACAGTCTGATTCTTCTTGTTGTAGACTCTGTAGGCTCGACTGTTCGGAGAATATCCAAGAAAAATACTTTCATCGCTCCTGGGTTCGAACTTCCCTCTTTGTTCTCTGTCAGCTAACACATAACACTTTGTGCCGAACACATGAAAGTATTTCAGATTTGGTTTCTTTCCATTCCAGATCTCATATGGTGTTTTGTTTGTTCCTGGTCTCAAATAGACCCTATTTATGGTATGACACGCTGTATGAACCGCTTCTACCCAGAACCGTTGTGGTAAATGTGAGTCATGTAGCATCACTCTAGCCATTTCCTGCAAGGTTCGATTCTTTCTTTCCACTACTCCATTCTGTTGAGCTGTTCTAGGAGCTGAGAACTCATGTGATATACCATGCTCGAAGCAGAAGTCTAAATACAGTGAGTTTTCAAATTCCTTTCCATGATCACTCCTTAATCTCTGAACTTTTATGATGGACTCACTCTTTTCCTTCTGAATCCTTATGCACAAAGTCTTGAACACCTTGAAAGCTTCAGTCTTTTCTCTTAGGAAGTACACCCAGCTGTATCGAGAGAGTCATCTACACACATGAATATATACTTCTTTCCTCCAATGCTCACTGTCTGTGTTGGTCCCATGAGATCTATATGGACAAGATCTAGACACTTCTCAGTGGTGATACCTCTTACTGCTTTGTGTGCAGTTCTGATCTGTTTTCCAATAGCACATGCACCACAGATTCTTTCTGGATCAATTTTGATCTTAGGTACACCTTTTACAGCTTCCAGTTTTATCTTATGTGACCTAGTCGTCTATGCCAGAGTTTTGATTCATCAGATTTGGATAGATGACAGGCAACTTCATTCGTCAACACATAACAGTTGTCTGAGGATCGTGTTCCTTCCATGACCAGTCGTTTTCCTTTGTCACTGACTCTACAGCAGCTACGATCAAAACACATTCCAGTTTTGATCACACAGCTGACTGATGCTGATCAAATTTGCTTTCAACCCACTAACAAGCAGAACTTCTTTCAACTGAGGTAAACCAAGTACATTTAGGGTTCCTTTTCCAATAATCTTACCTTTTTGTCCATCTCTATATGTTACAGCCCCACTGCTAGGTTGAACAGCCATCAGACACTTGATGTTTCCCGTCATGTGCCTTGAGCACCCACTGTCGAAGTACCACCTAGTATCAGTTGTTGAAGCAGTCAAAACAATGGTGGGGTAGCAAATGACTTCTGACTTCCTTACCCAGACCTGTCTGGTGAAAGGTGTTATAGTCTTGTTTTGAAACTTTTCCTTCCTTTGATCTCTGTAGAAGAAGTAACACTCAGGTCTAGTATGACCTTTTGTTTGACAGTAGTAACAGGTAGGAGTGTAGAATTTAACTCTGGTCAATTTGTTCTTGAATCTCGAATAGTGAGACCGATGAGTTGTTCTTCCTGAGTCAGTATTAGTGTTCTGACCATGCCTTCTTTCCTGGTTTTGTACTGACTGAGATGACTGTCCTTGTTCATACCTGTGATTTTCTGTGGTCTTAGTCATTCCCTCTTTGATGAACCTTGGTGTAGTATTCGAAGATTCTCCTCGTTCAAATGCCAGACCCTTTTTATTGTTGGGACTTCTCCCAGAGTCTAAAATTTTGTCCAAGGTAGATGTAGTATCCATCATCTGAATATTTTTCTTCAAGCTCTCCAATTCTTTGATCAATTTTCCCTCTCTGGATCGTATCTGTGTGATGAGATCATCTTTTATGACCAATTCTGCCTTCAAATCTTTTAGACGATCATCTATTTGCTTTAGTTCGTCATTCAGATTCTTATTCACTTTCACAAGTTGTTCCCAGCTAGCAACAAGTTTCGCAAATTTTGTCTCAAGTTGAGTGTGTCTCTCTTCAAAATCATCAGTCGATATGTATGATTCTTCATCAGATGGTTCTTCGTCTGACTGATGATCTGTAGCAGTGAAGAAAGCTACAAAGTTTCCCACATTCTCCTCTGATTGATCATTTGTTGATTCCTCCTCATCATCACTAAGAGTAGCCACATACATAGCCTTTTTTCCGTTTTAGATATGTCGCACATTCAGCCTGTATGTGACCATACCCTTCACATTCTCTGCACTGTATTGACCGATTGAGAGGTTTTCCTGTTTCTGTGGTACTGTTTCTGTTCTGTCTTGTTCGTCCAGTTTTAGTGTGACTGTTGTGTGATACAGGAACTGTCTCACCCTTTTGATATGAGGTATTGTTGCCTTTATATTGGGTTCTGGTAGATTGACCTTGACCTTTTCTGTTGAAACCTTTTAAGATCTTCTTGAAGTTTTTTTGTGAGAAGAACTAGGGTTTCATCATCTATATCATCTGTATCAGATTCTCGGTTAGCCTCAGCAACAAAAGCTACTGACTTTCCTTTCCGGTTGCTGCCAATATCATCATCAGCCAGAACATCCAATTCATATGTGTGTAAGCTTCCCATGAGTTCTCCAACAGTCTTCTTTTCCCAACCAGTGTGTTCCTGAATAGCAGTTACCTTCATTCGAAATCTTTTAGGTAAAGATCTAAGGATCTTTTTGACCACTCTCTCATCAGTGAATGGTTCCCCAAGAACTGCGGCACGATTCATCAAGTTCTGAACTCTACTGTGGAAGGTCGAAATGGTTTCGTCTTCGATCATTCTGAGTGCTTCAAATTCTGACAATACCATTTGTAACTTTGACTGCTTGACATCACTGGTACCTTCAAACCTGGTTTCAAGAATTTTCCAAACTCGTTTAGCCTCTTTCCCTCCTATTACAAGTGTCAATACAGATTCATGAAGCGATCCAACAATTGAATTTAATGCTTTGTTGTTTAGATCAGAGGCATTCATTTCGTCGTCAGTCCACGTCTCCATAGGTTTTAATTCTTCGACTCCTTCAGCATTTCGGACAGTAGGAGGACTCCACCCAGTTAGAACAGTACGATAGACCCTGGTACCTTGCGCTTGAAGATATATCTCCATACGAGCTTTCCAGAAAGAGTAGTTGTGATTATCTAGTTCTGGTGGTTTCATACTTGCATCCATCCTGAATACCACAACTAGCCAACAAACAGACAGACTCGCACAAAAAGAGAGAATGCAAAATTATAAACAGCCCTTTGGATCAAGTCATTGTGTAGACTTAAAAGCTCTGATACCACATGTAATTTTGCATTTTCTAATCTTAGATAATTCGATAGAACTAGATGACTGAAACAGATTACTGATTGATCCAGTTAGGTTAATCAGTAAGTATGTAATGAGGGAGAACGATAGTCACACACAAAAGTAAAGACACAGAGTATTTTTTACCCAGTTCGATACAGTGTGTATCTACGTCTGGGGGACGATCACATAGGCGTCCAATCCACTAACTCATAATCCAATGTACAAAGGTAGATATACAATAATCTTACCCAAGTGCCCCACACAAGGTACAAACCCAATCTACAAAGGTTTAGTGGATTGTTGAAGATGGAGAGCCATGCATACAGAAGTCCAATGAAATCCCTTCACTTGGAGAGCCAACTCTGATGCAGTCCACTTCAATGACGCTTTATAAAGTTGTTACCACAACAGTGTGATCTTTACGTCCTTTCGTTTAAGTAGCAGTAGTTCTTCTCAAGTTCATCATCTTAATCATCTTGAACATTCTGTTTTGAGAAGATGCATGTCAATCAAAGATCTATCCTCATATAGCCGGTATGGAGTGTTTCTTTGTATCTTGGTCGTAACCCTAGTTCTCTCCAAGAACTGGTTCTTATAGATCCTTCAATAAACACTCTCCATAGATGTCTTTGATTGTAGAAGGTAGGACTGTAAAAGTGGAAAGTAATCTTTGTAGATTAGGTCCATTACCTTCTTTGAAGATACGCTGATCTTCTTTCCATACTGATCTGATCTTCTGTGAAGTACCGTGTGAGTCTCTTAAGGAAACAGCTTTCCTAAATCAAATTTTCAGTGTCAGTCCTTCTGTTGTTGTCTCTGATTGATCAGTCATCTGTAAAACCACCCGGACAAAACCCTAAACCTATCTTAGAAAGCCATAATAATATTGTCAATTATAATGTGGGGTTTTTGAACATAAACACTAACAATCTCGTCGAGCGGCGGGAAGAAGAAGACATATGCACCAACCTGGAGAGTCTCCGGTGAGAGGAAAAGGAAGAGAGAGTTGAGCTTGATTTGGGGTTTTTTTTTGCAGAGTTTCTGGGTGAAGTGCGTAGAAGAAGGAGGTAGGAGTATTTACCATGGGCACATGCTGTTAAAGCAGCATCGGCCACAAAAGGCACAGCTTCAAGTATATCCCATGCAGGTAATTTAGGCCTTGGGTAAGTATCCTCACTTGGCCCAGAGGAACTACTACTTCCAGATGTCACACTGGTCAACGATTGGCTTCCCCTATTAATTTTCCGGAACATCATGTTAAGTAGCACATCAACAGTTTGGTGGACAGGGGTCCCATTTACTAGACCAGAGAGAGTCGAAGCTATACATGCCAGATGTTGTCTATACCATACTTTCAGTTTAGGAAATGAATCCAAAAATATCGGATTCGGAGAGGATGAATTTACAACGGCTGCAAGTCTCCTTCTATGTGGATCCTTTAGAATATTTCCCGAAGACACTAAATGGGAATTACGTACTAGTAACAGGTATTCAGGAGTTAACTGACACCCCACAGGTGGCACGTCTCCTACTCCATACTCAATAGGTGGATGATTAAATCTCCACAGCTTTAGAAGTAGAGCAAACGCATTTGAAAATACTGCATGAGCTGAGATTTCCTCTCCACCTGGCAGTTTCCATGAAACATCAGGAACACAGGATCCAAATACTTCACAGATTGTCATTAGAGAACCAGCAAGTTGCGGAACCTGAAACAAGTATAGGACTAATTTATAATTTTCAATCACATAAAGCACTATTAAAACAGTCATATAATGATATTTGCAGTGGTTCTTTACAATAAACTGAGTGATTTGCTATATTAGAAATTCACTGTGAAAATAATAGCATCCCCACCCACTTACCTCTACCCCCCGCCTGATACGATCCCACATCGGGTCTTGGCTTGAGTACCGTATCATTTGGTGCTCTTGTTGAGAGACCAGAGTATGGTGGGAAAGGGCTACCTAGAAGAACGCTACTCGATGCTTGATAAGGTTCAAAGGGAACCAAGAAGGGTCTCAAGTGAAGCCGTCCACTCATCCAATGCTGGCCTAGCGGAGGGGACAACCTAGAAAAGGGCTACCTGGTGCCAAGAAGAGCCCGAAGTGTAAGCCGCCGCGGACGTCGGCTCCTCAAGGATACGATCCTACAATTCGGCTTGGTACTTGGGTTGGGGCCAAACCTTCACTAATGAACTAGCTTTTGTGGTGGAGTTAAGGTCTTGGTTTGAGTACTGTATCACCCCCATCCCCCAACATACCATGCCATGAAGAGAGAATATCTTGACACAGTCAACAGATGCTATTCCAACTAGCAGGACCCCCCACCCCAAAAAAAAAAATTGTTATCTTCTCATCATAGCTTAGTGAGAACTTCACATACCATGCCATGAAGAGAGAATATCTGGACACAGTCAACAGGTGCTATTCCAACTAGCAGGACATTCAGCATTGGTGCATAGCAAATCAAGTGGCTGTCTTTTCCACAATAGCCTGCAGGAACTGGTGGGGACAACAATCTAGTTATAAAGTAGACAGTGTGTTCCTGCACAGTTGTTTGGAAGAATGTATTAGAGGACTGATTCTTTGAAACAAAAAAGAAATGACTAATGAGACTGCCCAAAGCTTTAAATTCATTTTCAACTCTATGACTTCATCATATGTCCATTAAGGTTTGTAAATTGCCATGTGCTTTCTATTTTACAGCTTTTTGCCTTAGTTGTAATGACTCTCTTTTGCTCATTACCTGAATGTTCCAACCACGAATTAACGAGGCACCGCAAAGAATTGTTGCAGCAGCTATTTTCTCATCATCTGAACCTTTAACCGCCATTTCAAAGATTTTCTCAAGTTCCGCTAAGCTTCCAACAAATCCATGAGCTTAAATAAGTCACTTTACCCTTGGGTATTAATAAAAGAAAAGGGGCTCATAATAGACCTCACTCTAGGAAAGAAAAAGTGTAAGACCACGCTAAATCTAGGAAAACAGAATAAATAGAATAGTCTGTTATTGCACATTTAGGGATAACCTAATGGAAGAGAACAGATAGAGTTGCCTGTATATTCCAATTTGTCTAGTTGATAGTATCTTAATTTCTCGGCTAACACAAGAATTCATTCAGTGTCTTCGCTAAATAACTTAAAGCTGAACTTACTTTTTGAACCTAAAACAATTCAAATTTTTATGAACTACAGAGAAGCAAAAATTGTTGTTAAAAGCTAGCCTCGTTTGTACCTTGAAGCAGGGCTTGAAACTAAAGCATTAACCATTACTGGAGTAAGCATGGACCCCTTCAGGAATGATGACCAACCAGGCACTTGAGTAGGCAAACTGTGCGGTAACTGGTTAATTCGTCCATTTACATAGCCAGGCCAGAAATAAACAGATGTATCCAGTAGTTTCCTGGCAATGCAGGCTTCAATTATCAAATGGTATAGGTTTCCAGCTGCAAGAAAAGGGACATAAAATCAGTTGGAAATAGAGAGATAAACAGAACAACGTAGAAAGCCAGTAAACCAATTTCCAATCTTCACATTTCAAACGTACATACTGCACCACAGCTCAGTTGCTTCAAACATTCTTGCAGTTAATATATCCAGAAAGATTGTAGCACAAGTAATGCATCATGTAGTTTGGGGGGAGGGTGGACGAAAGGAAATGTCATATAAAGAATTAGACCTGTAATTATAGATCCAGTTTTGTACATTCTAAAATTTACTGCAACTATGCAACAAAGCAATTTTATATTACCTGTTTATTGGTTCCATATCTGAAATCTGCACCCTTTTAAAGCACTCTACTAAATACTAAACTCTAGAAGTCCCAAAGGAGTTCCTTTGAACACCAAAAATTCCATTTCAGAAGTTTATAAACCACCTAAACTATCACTTTCATGACCATCTGACCAATCACACACGCAAGATAGATTATACTCCGTATATATCAGTCAATGTCTTAGGATAGTTGAATAGAAATAGTACTCACAACAATTCGTTGGCATATCTTTCAGGTTGATGCATTCAAAATATGCACTGCCAATATTGATGCCTGACACAAGCATCATTGCTTTTGCAGCTGCCTGGTTGGCCGCAGAAATAACCGACTCAGGTGGAATTAGCAAGCTCTGGTAACCAGCAAGAGACTGTAGACTAGATATTAAATCTTTACGGCGTTGTCCATAACCCTGTTTTTCAAAGTGTCCATCCATACTGTGCTCAATCCCGTTAGGGTCTGCACTTTCCTCTTCCTCAATGAGATCAGCTATCACAAGTGTTGTGATAGAGAACAACATGCACAAGCGAGTCTCCAAACGGGGCACCGGTCCCTCAATAGGATCCCTCTCCTAAATTCAAATTACAACAAAATTATTACCAAATAAATTATTTTTTTCTGTATTAAGCAAACCACTCTCAATCAAATTTATAGTGCTTTCTTGTGGACACGAAGTGGGTCATAGTGCTTGCAGTATTTCAAGGTAACTAGCACGACATTCCCAAACAGAATTTTATTTCCCTAAAGCTTATCAGTAACTTTGCTAGCTAATGAAGTCAGATCAAACAAGGAAACAACGAAACAGACAAGACTCATTTTAGCCATCTGGGAGTCAGATTCAACATCTACCCTGTCTTTCACTAGTGCAATAATGTCCAATATTTGAGACAGTTTTCACAAAAATTTCATTATCCAGCCAACAGCATCTTCTAAGAAATACAATAGTTCCAGCAAACCAAAAGAGATTAGATTTTTTTTATGTTTCTGAGTCTCTGACTTCCAGTTCCAGCACTTAGAAGAAGCATCATTCCAATAGACACAAACATATTCACCATTCAAGCTTTTCCAATTTATTTCCCGTTAGTTGCATCTATGTAGTAGTTTATGCTAGTTACCATGTTAATACTCTTCTCTATCAAGAGCCTTAATAATGCTGGATAGGAGAAATCAAAATCTGAATAATTTTCTTTCTTAAATCAAATGGTAGAGCCAATTCCATCTCTGTTTTTTCCAAAGATCTGTCAACCCCACTTTCCAACAGGCATTATCAGTTAGCCAGGAAACAGTTACCTTATAATAAACACCTACTTTTTTCATTTCATAATAAAAGAAGTTAATTTTCTTGGCAATAAATTCTGCTATTGAAGCTATGAATGATCATAAGACTGAACAAATTTGCTGCTGAAAGGAAGAAGAAATCAGATTATGAAAAGGCAAATTTCTCACCCTTTGGACAAATCGCAGCACTGCCATCCAAAGTCCTAAGAAAGTCTCATGGCAACTGGTACAATTTATTGCCTGTAGGGACTTCACTAAACCTAGAGAGAAGATTCACGGGTTTTATTCTGTTAGGCATCATAATGAATATCACAATTGCGTATATAATGAAAAAAGAATTTACCAGTTATAATCTCAATGGCACTTGTGGCACTAACTTGTGAACCATCAATTGCATCTTCTAATACCAGATCAAGAGGTAGCCAAAAAGAAGAACAACTAGTCCCAAGGAAAAGACCAGCACAGGTTGCCAAAGGTTTTGAAGCCATTAATGCTTGAGACTCTCTCAGAGAATTTGCTCTGCAGTCCCTAGACAGTAAATTGTGAACACCTGATGTTAACTGACGGAGACCATCTGGAGTTAGAACTTCTGAATTTTGCAATGCTGAAGAATTTGCAATAAGCAGTTCTATGCGTTGGATAAAATCTTCCCAATGTGCGGGCCTGAAAATGAAAAAAGCTATTAGTCAACTGCGGATAACTGAAAAAGAAATAATGGATTCATCTGTTTATTTATTTATTTTGATAGGAATTTTGTGTTTATTCAAGCTAGAAATAAATACATTTCCTACTTATTTTGAACTTTCCCTCAAATGACAAAATGCACTGAAATAGTAGCATGTTAAAATGCAGTTATGAAGGAATAAAGTTCTGACATGTTTTGGCGAGCCAAGTAAAGAATCCTGGAAGTTACTTTGTTTTGTAGAAATTTCCCAATCAACTCAACACACATGACCGTATTCATACTTTTCCGTCTCTCTTTATGCTCAAACATCTCTGCATCATAACTATTAAATCCATCCAAATCCATATCTTCAGGTTTATTTAGCCATCTAGATTTCTTCTCTGGAGTAAGTTGAAGCAACCCTTCATCATCTAACGATGCATCAAGTAATTGAAAAACAGTTGAAAAAATAATGTCAATCACAAGAGTGCCATGCTCCTCGGCCCGTCTGCCAAATATCTGAGAGAAATGGAGAACAGAGTCCAAGTAATCCATGACCCTACATTTTAAGGGCAATTATCGTTATGAAGTAAAGGAAGGAGGATAAACTTTACGCCTTTGAAACAAAACACTAAAATGGAAAATTATAAATTCAATGATTACTAGAGATAAATGAACTCACTTTTCATTGATTGGCATGCTTACGTGCATTTTAAGTGTGAATATGTGTCTTTTCAGGAGTTCCATATAAAGCCTGAAGGCTGCAGGTCGCAAATGACGATTTGGGATAACCCTGCATGAAAATGAACAGCAGAGTAAGACAACACTAATAACGGACCAAAATTGATAAAGCAAAAACAGCCTTCAACAAAAAGTCAAAAACAATATCAATTGTTCAACTTGTCTTAGATTCCAAGACAAAATTGCATCAACTTTTCTTGATAAATCAAAGAAGCATAAAGAGTAAAGTACTTTCCTAAAGAACAACTTTGATAGTAAGTATTGACCACAGCTATGATGACTGTTACAATACATGAAAAGCAGAATGAGTGCATTAATAAACGCATAACATAGATGGCAAATGATTCTATCAAAATCACCCCTGTATAGCATTTACATCCATATCTTCTCCAGTGATATTGGGAATTTTCACAATGTTTTAAATGAAATTGTACTCCAGCATACATGTATAGAGGTGAAGGAGTAAAGGTTAAAAAAAATTAAAAATAAAATGCATTGAAGTTAGTTTCTTGCACTCACAGACTTGGTGAGCTGAAGAGCAGGTGCAACAGCTTTTTCAAAACTGTTGCGCCATTTGTTATACCATAGACTAGGGTTCATCTTGCATTGTAAACCTAGTCCAAAAATTATGTGTGTAATTAACATATTCTGTACCTGCAGTTAATAATTTATGTGTCTGTAATTATCATTTTTTCTGTATGTAGTTAACATGTTATGTTATGTGCGTCCAATTTATTTAAAGATACATACACAGTTAACTGCAAGTACAGAATATGACAACTACTGGCACATAATCTGAAGGTTATTTTGGACCAGGGTCAGAGGAAGTGCATCCAATGTAACTCCAAAATTTATCAATCATAATTTATCAACAAGAAAAATAATAATAATAACAGCATTAGGCCAATGACTGTGACAGCCTCTTTTTCATCAAAGTAAAAAAAAAAAAAAAAAAAAAAAAAAAAAAAAAAAAAAAAACAAACCAGGCATGATTGAATATATTGGACCACCATTTGTTGGAAAAAACAAACAAGTGCTACATGACAACAATGATTCAATAAGCACAAATACCCCAGTTTAAGTTTTCATTTGCAGATAGTCACAAATAATGCCTTCTCCCTATGAATAAAACAAATAAAATAAGCCTAAACCAAAACTTCCTCCGCCCATCCAATCCAAAATCAATATATAAAGCAAAATAAAAGATCAATCCCATTAAACTCTCATCTACCATTTGATGCATCAAATAATATAAAATGCAAATATGTGTTTGTGAAATCCGAGGAAATGAAAATGGAGAAAAATGAAAGGCAGGATCTCAAAGAAAAAATCAAACAACGAGCAAAAAGCTTTACATATATTGATGAATCAAAGACAAGAAGCTAAGAAAAAGCTTGGAAATTGAATATAGCAAAGAGGGCAGGCTGCAGACCTATTGGATAGCAGTGGAAAGACAATGAGAGAAGGCACAATCTTGAGAGCCAAGGCCTTCTCCAACAATTTCCAAGCAGAGGGCACATTATTCTCCCAGCAAATGTGAGACACCAAGAGATGGGCTAGCTCAATAGAAGGCAGAGGCGCTCCAGCTGAAGTCAAATGTGAGGAAACTTGAATTGCCCACACCAAAGGGTCACAGCCCTTCTCTTGGGCCACCTTCGTTAGCTCCAAAACATCATCCCAGATGCTGCTGCACTGTACAGACACCTCCATCACATCACTCTCTCATATCCCTTTTCTTTCCTACTCAGAGTCAGAGACCTCTGTTAGACTGTTACTGGATGTATGGGAAATTGGGGATTGGGGACTGAGGGTGAAGAGCCTGGCAGAGTTTTTTACCAGAAGAATAATGAATCCTTTGGAGTTTTGAGAGTGGGAAGTTGTGGGAGTGGAGACTATTTGGTGGTGCAATACAAGAAAAGCATTCTTTCCAATAAAAAATAATGCCATTTTATTTTTTAAAATTTGCTGAATATATAAATATTGCAGGAATTGGTGTGGTGTGGTTGGCATTGAAAATGAAAGTCAAACTGAATGAGGGGCTGTTCAGTTTTTTTTTTTAAATAAATAAATAAAAGATAATAATTTGTTTCTTCTCCCAAATAATAACTTGTTTCTAATGAGGGGCATAAGTGGGGTTATAATATTCGGTTTGGACGCAACTCCAATCAAGTTGATAAGATAATTGATTTTTAACTATAAAATTTTAAATTTAACTTCTTATTGAAGTAGTGTAGTTGATTTCTTAGTTTGAATTGGTCAATTATGGACAATCTAATCTTCTTGTAGTCTTTTGTTAATTAGAATTACAAAGTAAGTTTCACTCAAATACGTTACTCGATAACCGTTGCATGTTTTTTCTCAAATTAAAAAATATTGGGTTTGGTTTTCATAATTTTGGTTTAATTTGTGAAAACTTTTGATTGGTTTAAGGATATGAAATGATGCATGTGATATCATCAAACTTTTATTCTAATCCAAGTTGAAATCTGACTTTATTTATTATACCCAGACCTACCACTAATTAATTATAAGGATGTGATCTTGTGTTTGACAAATATCTTAATTTTATTGGAAGAAAAAAAAATGTGTCTTAATTTTTAAAAAACTAATCAAAATATGTTGGATCTGTTTGATACGCCTAACAGAAATTTAAAAGTTAAAAAGTTAGTAGCTAATAAGTTAACTAATTGAAATTAAAATGTTTGATAAAATTAATTGTTGAATTAATTGATAATAAGTATAAAAAGAGAATTTTGTTTTTAGTACTACTAACTCTGTTACATTGTAATATATGTTTAAATATATTTTCTCAACCTATTGAAGCATAGTATAAAAAAGGATAAACTTAAATATTAATATTTTGATTAATGAATGGTGAATGGTTTCATTTTTGTAAATTAATAAAAAAAAATAAAACAAAAAAGCTAAAAATTAAAGCCATGAGCTTATTTTGTAGACTATAGTGTTCCAATATATATATATATATATATATATATATATATATATATATATATATATATATATATATATATATATATATATATATATATATATATATATATATATATATATGTGTGTGTGTGTGTGTGTGTGTGTGTGTGTGTGTGTGTGCACATACAAAACATACAAATTGTTATGTATGACCAGTGTAGCAAAAATCTCGCCTAGGCACCGATTAATTGCGTCTAGGCGTTAAATACTTGCTGGCCGCCTAGCGTATCACCATAATCAGTGGTCTAGGCTGCTGGTCGGCCAGGTGACCGACTAGATCGCCTAGGCGCTGACCACTTAGACCTCCTAGGTGCCAACTGGGCCTCCTAAGCACTGACTAGGCCGCTTATAGGCACCAACTAAGTCACATAGTACGTCGACCGATTAGCTATTGTTCCCTTCTTTTTAAAATAAGTTATTTCACTCAAAACGATATCGTTTTAAGCGAAATAACCCTAAATTGTTCAAACTCTATATGTTTTTTAGGTTAATACTTAATATTTTAGTATTAACTATTAAAGTATTAAATAGTTTATAATTATCAAGTCTTAAAAAATTTAAATAAATTTTTTAAAAATAAAAAATACACGGCCGATTAATCCCTGCCTAAGTGTTTTAAGCGCTTCTCGAGCGCCCGATGAACACCTACCAAGTTTTTCAACCATGTGTATGACACGACAAAATTTTCATATATGTTCCAATATGATTGATGTCTTGATGATATAATCTTGTGGATTTGGTGGAGTGCATCTAGGAGAGTACGTAGTTAAAGTAGTTTACCCCAAATATTTTCTGAAGGGTCGTCGCCATTTGAATGAACTATAATTAGATCAATACAATTAGCTGCAATTCTTAGCTTCTTGAACATAAGTATCAAATCCGATCATTTTGATGGATTGTGTTATTTACAATTTAATTTTTATAATATTTAATATAGTATTAGCGAATAAAATTTATATATTTAAAAATTACGTTAAAAAAATTATTTAACAAAAATAATAGTTAAATATTAAAGAATATTTTGTTTTTGAATGCTACTGGCTCTATTACAATGTAGTACATGTTCATATACTTTCTCAACTTGAAACACAAAGAACCATTAACAAAAATAATAGTTAAATATTAAATACAATGTAGTACATGTTCATATACTTTCTCAACCTGAAACACAAAGAACCATTAACAAAAATAATAGTTAAATATTAAAGAATATTTTGTTTTTAAATACTACTGGCTCTATTACAATGTAGTACCTGTTCATATACTTTCTCAACCTACTAAAACACAAAGAACCAATTACGCCTCCACTAAAGCTCGAACTCACAATCTTCTAAATGAAAATTCAACCTAGGTACCATTAAATCACATAGTCTTGGTAAAAATATTTTGTTTAAAATCAATAATAAAATAAGATACATAAATTGGAGCAAGGAGTAGTTGTAAAACTTGGTGCAATATTTGGTTGAAATTAGGAATAAGATTTTAAAAAAAAAAAAAAAAAATCATCACCAGCAACGTAACTACCTACAAAAACAAAGGATAAACATATGAGAATTGAATTACCAACACGCTAAGGTATCTTCTAGACCCCATTTCACATCCAAATTTAAACGCTATGCTGTGCGTAACAACTTTTAATTTTTCTATTATTCAATAGAAATTCTTCCGTGGATACACATACTTATATCTATCTACTATACTAATAAGAGCCCAAGAGAGTTAGGCCTATAATGGGTAGAAAAAATGGCGGTCAAGTTTTTTAATAAAATAAATGGCTCAGATTGATCATATTTTATTTTTTTTCTTAAGATTTACTAATTTATCCTTAATGAATATGATTATCCGTTAACTTTTCCGTTAAATATTATCTTTTCCGTTAATTTTTGTTAGTTTACCGTTAACTTATTCATTGATTTCAATAACAAAGGTCTTAAGTTCGAAGTTCGAACCCCATCCCAATCAAAGTTGGCATATATTTAGTACTCTATTTTACTAAATTAAATAATAATTTAGTAGTTGCAACAAAAAATAATACATATCCATTTCGATCTTTAATTTAGAATTATGTATCTACATTGTTTTTATTCAAAAAAATTATTCATTATCAATAAATTAAATAAGAGAAATAATTTCATTAGTTATATTGTCTTTATTTTTCTCCAATATAAAAATTCTTTACATTCAAATTCACCAATTGATTATATTCACTGCATTGTCCCTACAATGTCTTTATTAAAAAAAAAAAATTATTCATTATCACGAGAAATAATTTTATTATATTATATTGTCTTTATTTTTCTCCAATGTAAAAATTCTTTACATTCAAATTCATCAATTGATTATATTCACTACATTGTCTATTATCTTTTTTTTTTTTGTGAACTATTTTTTAATTAAATATCAAAGTTATAATACAAAATAATGTTATATATTTATTTACCAAGTATTTTATTAATACCATGAAAAAATTAAGAAAAATATAATTAATAAAGCCAATCATATTAACTACTTGAGGAATTTGTTGACAAAGAGAGTATTCAAATCACACAACAAATTGAAGTGAGAACTATCTCGTAATGTCCTTGTTTGACAATCAGTAGTTAGCGGTTAGCGTTAGCGGATTATATTAGCTGATTTGACCAGCGAATTATATCAACGGTTGGTAAAAAGATATTTGAAAAAATTAGCTTTTTAGATTAACATGTAAAATGACATAAGGGTATACATAATAATAATAATAATAATAATAATAATAATAATAATAATAATAATAATAATAATAATAATAATAATAATAATAATAATAATAATAATAATAATAATAATAATAATAATAATAATAATAATAATAATAATAATTGTTTTAAAAAATAAAAAAATAAAAAAATATAATTAAGCCAATCATATTAACTACTTGGGGGATTTATTTACAAAAAGAGAATTCAAATTACACAACAAATTGAAGTGGAAAACTACCTCGCAATGTCCTTGTTTGACAATCAACAATTAGCTCTTCAATATTAGTATATATTTAAAATTTTATGTCCTAATTTTTATTTGCTCTCCCTTATGTCCCGAATTTGGTTTCAACCATACCTATACAATTATTTTATTGACAATTATAATCAATCTTGACTATATTATCTTGCATTTGTAAACTTAGAATTACCTATTTAAATACACAAATTCAACATTCAATTATTTATGCATGAACAATTCTAATATAATCCTGTCTTGATATACTTTAAAATACTTGTTAAAAAAACATTGGGCATTATCCAATCGCGCAATGCGCGTGAAAAACTAGTATATAAATATGCGTTGATTTAGCAGTGGATCGGATGCTCATGGCCAAGCAATGTTAGTTGATTATATTGCGTGATAGATGACTGATGAGCTGAGGCCGAATCTATTGGATATATATTATGGATTCTTTTCTACCATTCATGTGTGTTTAGTTCATAGGGTTAGACACAGGGATTGAGAATGAAAGTCATACACATTATTACAAATTATGCTGTGGATTCGTGTTCATAATACATTGTGGACTCGTGTTCACAATGCATTGTGGACACGAGTCCAAAACGACGTTGTTTTTAGGAAAAACGTGATATTCCAGTTAAAAAAAAAATTGATTTTGTCTCGCCGTAACGGCGTTAACGGCGTTATTCGTTTGTGAAGTTATGAATGTACAGTTAAGGAATTATGAATGCACAGTTATGAAATTATGAATGTAAGTTATGGAATTATGAATGTAAGTTATGGAATTATGAACACAGAGCTCTGACATTATGAACTTACAATTATGAACATGTAGTGATAAAATTATGAACATAGAGCTCTAAAATTGTGAACATAGAGCTTCGAAAATTATAAATGTACAATTATGGAATTATGAATGTACAGTTAGGGAATTATGAATGTACAATTATAGAATTATGA